CATTCAGGGTTAGACAGGATCTGTTTCTGAAAAAGAAACCCAGTTTAACTTTCAGTTTCTTTACCAAGTTTTCCACATGGAGCTTAAAAGAGAGATGTGAGTCGACCAAGATACCTAAATATTTATAGGAATCAACAAACTCAATGGGGACACCATTTGAGGATAAAATCGGAGGAAGAACTGCTGGGACCAACTTCCTATTTGAAAAAAGCATCCCTTTGGTTTTGTCGGCATTTAGGACAAGTTTGAGGTGGAACAAATATGTCTGGATGTAGTTGAATTCAGATTTCAAAAGCTGGAAAGCCTTAGCAACAGTTTTAGCTCGAAAATAAACAACTGTGTCATCAGCATAGAAATGTATGGATGCATTAGGGATGTTTTTACCTACATTATGTATGTAGATTGTAAAGAGGGTGGGTCCTAAGACTGAGCCTTGTGGTACACCATTGTTGACTGTTGAATAACTGGAGGAAGTACCATTATGTTGAACACATTGCCTCCGGTCTGAAAGATAGTTAGAGAACCAACCAATGGTGTGTTCTGAGAAACCAATTTCTGAGAGTTTATGACACAAGATGTTATGATCCACAGTGTCAATAGCTTTAGATAGGTCTAAGAAAAGTGTAGCACAATAATCCTTAGCATCCAGTGCTTCAACAACATCATTAAGAACCTTCAGTGAAGCAGTGGTTGTGCTGTGTTGTTTCCTGAAATCAGATTGATGTGGAGGTAAGATGTTAAATGAGTCCAGGTAATTTTTGATTTGAAAGTTTATCAGTTTTTCTAGAACCTTGGCTAAAATGCAGAGTTTAGAGATTGGTCGATAGTTGTTCAGTGAGGTGGGATCACCTCCCTTCAGCAAAGGAAGAACAAAGGCTGTTTTCCAAGTGCTGTTTTCCAAAATGATAAAAAAAATTACTATATCTAGTGTAGTGAACTAGACCTCCGACCTCAACCTGTCTCTGAAGACCTTCAGGGGACAGGAACTGCTATTTCATTGATTTGAATCCAGAAATACAAATTATCTCATCAAGAGACTTTTTAATTGTATCCTGAATTAATCAGTTGAAAGAACACTCTTCCTTTTTACATTATCATTACTATTTTAGAATATCTTGATAATCAAATGTGTGTTTAGTTCATACCATTTCTAAATGTTGAATTGAACCACTCACTTAAATCAACTGTGAAACAGTATTAATGATTTTTAAACCTCATTAGACTTTGATAATACAGTTAAATGCCTATTTATGAAGTAAGTGTGCATTTAGTCTTCTGTCTGAATGAGGAGTAGTGATGTTGGTCGAAAGTCAGAGACGAGTTATTAGAATGAAGTGTCTTGTTTTTAAAACTAGCAGACAGTAAATAACTTCAACTGGCACCTGCGTTTGTCTCACTTCGTCATAATATTTCTCTGTCTGTGCTAACTATTCGTAAACATTCCTGCTGTCTCTTGACTTATAGTGACCCTCTTGACATCACTAGAACCACCCCTCTGCTGGTTGTTTCAACCAATCAGGAAGTACCACGTAACAGGAAGTATATACCCCTTTAAAAGGAACACTTTGTGGAACTATTCAGTTCGGTCCTGGAACTTAGTTCAGTCCTGAAGTGCAGTCCTGGAGTTCAGTGCTGGAACTCAGTCGGAGTCTTAAGTCTTAGGGCTAAGTCTTCAGTCTTAGTCTTCACGAGTCTTAGTCTCTTCTAAGTCTTGCTGGAACTTTCGGTCAGAGATGAGACTCACTTAAGCAGCGGATGGATGGGACCATGTGCCAAGGGGTCCCTCCATTTAGCGGAGTCACAGCTCGCATCGCTGTGCACTCAACCCGAGCAGTAAATGCTCCACTTCTAAAGAAGCTTATTCGGTGGAACCAAGTACTTTGTCACAATTTCTGATGACCCCAGCTACTTTAACCGGAGACGCTGTAAAGGGAGCATACTAATGGACTTCTGTTCTGGAGTGGAGGGATCCCTCATCTCAGGTAACAAAGTCGCTGCACGTCCTGAAGTGTACCGAAAAGCTGAGCGGGATGTCGGAGGAAGGGTGCTATGTTCTTGTTTCACACATAGCTTCCATTTAAACCTCTTTTTTAAATCTTTAAACTTCTATTTCTCCTCTTTAACTTTTCTATTCGCCAGTAATCAAGCTCGATGCCTTCAGAGGTGAATCGGCCTCGATCAGTAATGTTCTGTTGTGTTGTTAGTAAAGCGTGCCAAGTTTATTAATCAAAAACAGATCAGCAAATCAATATGTACATGTTTTGATGTTAAATTTTGATTCTGTTAAATAAATGACCCCATTTATTCTGATGCTTCAAAGATAAAATGTCATCTCATGTCACTGATTAAACAATCCACTCACAGTTATCTCGGTCACATGGCAGAAATTTAACTCAAAAAAGAAAAGAATCCGTTGTAATTAAACAATTAATATTCTTTGTGCTTGAACTAGCTTTAAGAATAATTAATTAAGTAGTGGGTCCACAACAAAGCTGTCCTGACATACTACACTAGCCATATATAGAAATAAACCTTTATTTAGGGGAGTGGTGGTACAGAGGCTAGAGAAGGCGAGACCCCCCTGGACCAACAACATCAAAATGTGGGTGGGAAAAGTGAAACACCCACACCTGCCTCAATCCTCATTTGACCTAGTCTAGGCCCTTGCGCAAGGCCCTTAACTCTCACCATCTGCTCCACCGGGTGCCCCAGATGGCAGCTCTCTTCTCCACACAGAGAGCTGTGGTAGTTCAGTGGTCTGTGGATGCGTCAGGAAGGACATCCTGTGTAAAAACAAGCCTTTGTGTTTGTTGGTTCACTGTGGCGACCCCTGAATAAGGGAGGAGCCAAAACAAAAATAAGAAAAACATAAGCCTTATTTACATATGGCTATACCCCACCCCCACCTAGGACTGTCAGACCACATCTCAATCTTTCTGGCTCCTGCTTACATGCCCCCGCTGAGACGCTCCAGACCGGTAGAAAAGAAAGTCAAATGTTGGATCCAGGACAGTGGCCCCATACTGAGAGATTGTTTTGATCGAACAGACTGGCAGGTTTTCAGAGAAGCTGCTGAAAATGAAGGATCGCTTGATCTGGACCAATATACATCCTCAGTTCTGGGTTACATTAGTACTTGTACTGACAACGTCTCCACTATCAGATATGTTAAAAGCTACCCAAACAGAAAGCCTTGGCTAAATGCAGAGGTGTGCACCCTGCTGGAAGTCAGGAACTTTGCTTTCAGGTCTGGAAACTCAGAGGAGCTGATTAGGACAAGGAAAGAGCTGGTTGCTGGTAATAAGAAGGCCAAGGCCACATATGCACAGAGGATCGAGGGTCAATTCATCTCACAAGACCCTCAGAGCATGTGGAGGGGCATTAAATGCATAACAGATTATAAAGGAA